ATCAGAACTGGCTGCTTCTGAAAACAGAATGGCAGATTTGCTGGATTCATCAAGACAGTGTTATTTAAATTGAATAACAGGAACCAGCTGCTGTGAAGAGACCTGCTATCTTTGTGCAGCAGTGTCTAATATAGTTGTCATAACTACCATGATCTTGAGGGTGAACAGAGAAAATTATCTGGATTTTGCAGAAATCTGAATGCTGTTACAGACAGTGAAACAGGTTCATGAAGAATGACTCAGTTCATAGCTTTCCATGACCTGCTTTTGAACTTCGCAGAAAAAACCTGGTTGTCACTGGGAAATTGGATGCTGACTGGCCTTGGCCTGTTGTGACTGAAAGAATTCTTTCTCTTATGTTCTTAAAATAATGAGATAGATGGAACAGCCCTTTAGGCCTTCATTCACAAATCTACCCAAATCTACCCATTAGTTTGGTTAAGAAGGTGACTTTGGCCATGAGCATCAGTGGTCAAGGGATTGAATGTGCTGTTCTTAATGCATCATAAATATTGAATTTCAAAGAAATGTCAGAATGAGACAGCAATATCAGTCTGTCTCTCTCTGCTTCCCAATACTTTTCAGCTCCAGTATTGTTGAGGAGGGTGGCTGTCCTGTTAAATTAATTGGATTGGTTTGTTTACTTGTAAAACATAGTGTTAATAACATAAAGACACATAAAGCATAGAACCACCATCCACTGGGATATGCTAAAACTTCACATCCACAAGTGCAGTTTTAAAGGAGCAGGAGCTGTATAAGCTGAGAATGGAGAATTTCCAGATTCAGTTTGAATCCATTCTGTCTTACTAGGATTCAGCTTGAGTCTGCTTTTCTCTGGGCAGCAATTCCACCATATCGCCTGTTCAACCAGAGATGGAGATGTGTAATTGGACATCATCCATTTATTAATGATAGCTCAGGTGAGCAACACTTGCAGCATTGGTTCAGGTAATTTGGACTCACGAATAATCAAAGACACCCCCTCCCCAAACAATGAGAAACGAAAACAGTCCTAATTCAGAAAGTTTTGAATATATATAATAATTGTAGAAAGAAATAGTGGCTGGCTTGGCTGCTTAAAATGGGAAATCGACAGGCAGATAAGGTTAATTCTGTAGAAGCAGTGTCCATGTGCGATGACCCAAAGCAGGAATGCAACCTTCAGTATAGCTTCCAATAAATAGAACAGTTGTTCTGTGGCTCCAGTTGAGAGGCGGATTTTCGGATTATGATAACAACAGCCTTTGAAGTTCTTTTAGGCCAGTGCCTGACCCTAATAAGAAAGGGAAATGAGGATAGAAAGATTGCCTTGTCAGGGAGATAAAATATAGATCTGAAAGTAATATCGTTGTGGGTGGATTTGATTTGCAGCCAATCCCAGTGTGCTTTCTTCTCAGCTAAGCTTCATAATTCCTAGAAAACATGTCAGTGGGTGAAGAAAATCATTAGAAGGCAGACTTTCAAGTTCCTTTACAGTCAGGTCTAGAAAAAGTGAAATATATATTGTGATTTTATGGAAGTGGAGGGTATTG